TCACGGTAGGAGTTGACAACGTGAATATTTGAAATTCGGGTAAAGAAAAAAATGTGTGCAAAACGGAAATTTCTTCAAATAAGATAATTACTTAATTGGTAAAGTCTGTCTCATATCTGATGAGAAAGGGAATGGTAAACCTATCAGGAAAGAATACGTAGGAAAGTTGTATGAATTTGATATCTGTATCTATTTTTTATCAGATTTCCTCAGCTTCTAATTAGATTTGGATGAAAATTCTGATTTTCTATTATTTAAAAATATTTAAAAATCTATTTACTAAATATTTAATTTATGTGTATTATTCTTTGACTGAGAGTGTATTATATACGTGTGTTATACTGCCGTTTTCCAAAATGAAAAGTCATCTTATTTTTTAAATTTGTGAGCAAATCTTCAATGCAAAAAGCATAAAATTATTCATTTCCAGTTGATAAAGAAGAAGGTACGGTTTTAGCTTTATTGTACCCTAAGAATCTAATGTTTTCAAAAAGTTTTGAAACAGGCTTAAATATTAGTTGAGTATATGACTTTGATAAATCAGGAAAGAATATGGCATGAAGGAGTACCATTCTGGAAATATGACGTCATTAATTTGATACATTTCTCTATTTTAAACAGAAAAAAAGCCTCAACATGACCCAATTCAAGGGTTATTTTCCTTAAGAAAATAGTGTCCTCAGCTGTCGCCCACTTTATTTTTTGAAATGTTGTGTATAATTCTTTGACAAATCACATATCTCAAAATCTTTGTGGGCGATGCCTGAGGACAATATTATCTGAAAGAAAATTCCATTGACAATGATTTGTATGATCTTTCTCAGAGAAATTTCAATGATTCAGAAAGCATGAGTTTTAATTTTTTACATCTCTTTCATTTTTAAGAAAAACACAGGGAAAGATTTGTAATGAAAGCGTACCTTGTTCTTCATGTGTCTGAAATTTTCATTTAGTTATTCACGAATTCATTCCTTTTCTCTTATTACTTTCTTTCATGTCTTCTTTTAATCAATATATATATATCGGTAAGATGGGCGACCTGCTTTTCCGCAATTTTATTTTCGCAACTTGTCTGCTTTTCTGCGACTTCTTCATACTTCTTTTCCGCGATTGGTTTAATTTTTACTATATGCTATGCGTTATAACCTTTTTCGGATACTTCCTTTCCACGATTTTTAAATGGTCAAGTTTTAAGATTAGCTTCAAACGGATGGCGAGATTTATCTGATGTACATGTAAATCAAAGTAGAATGCAGTCTATCATTATTATGAAAACATAATTCACACCTTTGTTTTATACAAATGAATTATTGCAATTAAGAACAGTTTTCAAGCCCCAAAGTCCATTAAAACAATACAAATTGGGAGCAGGGCAAAGACGGACATCTAAAAATCATTAGAGGTGGGATCAGGTAACTGCCATTGAGGAACAAGCATTCCCTGTCGACCAGTCACATCTGCACTGTGCTAAATGCCATGAGTCGCCCGCGTTTCGCAGTGGTTAAGGCGTCTGCTCTAGAGTTGCTGTGTAAAGAGCTATGTCGCGGGATTGAATCCCACTGCTGGACGTGGAGACCGGTCCTTTGGATGAGACCGTATAAACCGAGGTCCCGTGTCGCTGGCACGAAAAATATCCCGCGCACCTCACTGCTCAATGGCCCTGAGTGCCGAGTATAGGTCAAAATTTGTAGTTCTCCATCGGAAAGTGGTGGCGTCTCCATATGAGTGAAAAATTCTCGTGAGGGAAGTTAACAAACAAACAAAAAAACAAAACATTGCCATGATCGAGCAAACAGAAAATCCAAAACAATTCAATGTTTAAATAATTACTAACAATTAGTATGAAAAACATATATATATATATATATATATATATATATATATATATATATATATATATATATATATATATATATATATATATATATATATATATATATATATATATATATATATATATATATATATATATCTATCTATCTATCTATATATATATATATATATATATACATACATACATACATGTATATTTAAGCGTTTAATTTTTGCACGGAAATATATTTGAAAGAGCAAAAGTACCAAAGAACAAATGTACAACGTTAATATGACAAACTATTAAGGACTTTCCATTTTTCTTACTATTTTCTGATTTGTTATATGAAATGAACATTGCCTCTGCTTTCAGCTATTAGAAATTTCATTCTCTCTAAAAATATATATTGAATACTTCAATGAATATTTAATATTTCAGAAGGAATGACAAAGATGAAGATAACGAACAGTGATAGACCTTAAAAAATCTCTAAACAATGCCATTCTGTAAATGGGCATAAAAGACAGAACCCCGGAATGGAATCAGGTACATGTACCTAGGAGGAGTAAGGATCCCCTGTTAACTAGTCATACCCGCCGTGATCCCTATGTATTGATCAAATAGACGGAACATTCCGTAGTCAAATTCAGTATAAAAATTGTTATGAAACACGTCAGCCAAAATAAGATCCAATGATAGGTTATATTTGCTAATAAGGTTTGACGACCATAAAAGCCATAAAAGTAAAGAAATGCTGACTTTAAACAATTAGAAGGAAACCATGCTCACATAAAACGTTATTAAGGCTACTCTAAGCATTTAATCTGAAACGTTTTTAAACAACCAGCTTGGCATAATTAACGGTTCTTAGACGAATTTCAGAGACATGTTTGAATGTTTAAAATTTTGATTTTTCTTTCATGAGGTAGGACTACTTACTTATGCCATAGTGCAACTTTTAAAGGAATTTAAGCGCAATATCTTATACTTTAGAGAGGAAGGTAAATTGAAGTTAACAAATCGAACCTTTGACGATTTTAATTGCTACGGGTCTAGATCCATCCTTATGAAAGTTTTAAATATTAGATTTAACAGACTGAGTTTTTATTTAACTTTTCACAAGAAAAAGACATATATTAACAGTAATAACATAGTTTTGATTAAAAATAAAATTTTAAAATTAAACCTACCCCTGTGATTTATATGGACAACACTCTTATATTACGAATTCGCTTTACAAAATTTAACATTAATATACGGATATACAGGAGACTCTCGATCTCTCGAAGTTCAAGGGACCACAAGAAAAGTTCGAGAGATCGAGGGGTTCGAGAGATAGAAAGTGAATAAAATCCGGAATTTTCAGTTTCGATCATCATTGTTCTACTATTATAAATACCGGAAGTATTATGTTGATAATGTCATTGCACGTTTTCATTCGTATTTTACAGGTAATTCGCTTGATTTCAACAACAATGAACGTATTTTGAATAAATAAAATGATCTCTTTAAGTTTCAATATCTATTTGTTTTCATTTCATGATTACAAAAAATCTGAATAGCAATCGTCGCTGTGGCTACCCCCGGGCTTGATCGGGTCCTTCACCAGATTTCTCGTATTAAATCGGTATTTAATTCTTGAGATAGGATTATTTGCGCAATGTTTGTCATACTGGGATTATGTAGACACTAATAAAACTTCATAATCTATGGAAAATTATTGACACGCCTCTTAAATTATTTTCTAAAAATGTTCGTTTCGCTGTCAAGTCAAAATAAGTTGTGAAGCAATTCCTTTATAATCAATTAAGTAATGGATATATGCCGAATACTGTTCTATATGTAAAATTATCAGACTGTTTGAGGCCCGTTAGGGCCGAAAACAGTCTGATAATTTTACATATAGAATTGTATGAGGCATATATCTTACTTAAAACATTGCTATTTAAATGTCCAAAAGTTACCTGGAGGAGTCCGATAATTACACAATAGGAGTTCAGGCATCAATAGTTTTCTACCTGAAACCATCTAATAAGTAGACAACAGAAAAGAGAAAGTTTTTTTTTCTTCAGACAGTAAAATCAGTGAGTGAACTCTTTTGTTTCATTCATTAAAAGGCAGTCGTTTGGCTTAGCAGGAACTATGGATAGTGGTCAGGTGATGAAGGGCTTTTTTATGATTCGGAATATTTTTTTTTATTAAGTGCGTTTGACCTTGATACAGATACAGTGTTGGATGATATCTTCAAAATGCATTTAGAGTAAAAACGCGGATTTTTATCTAAAATTTTGATTGGATGATATAATGAAAATCTTGTGTTTAAAAGTGAGGTCATTGGCGAACAAACCTCGTTAAATGAAGAGATTCGCAGCCTGGTTCTTTAACAGAAATGGATTTAAATTGGCTTATTCACAGTGCTGTATCGAAAACGCTTTGCAAAAAACCGAATGGAAAGTGTTACTTTTGAGGAAGGTTAAAACTCCAGTTTCGTCTTGGATTTGCTATTTTTAACAACTTGATTTCCTCGCGTTCGCTTTCCCTGAATTTTTTCTCCCTATCTTTTGTTTTTGGACAAATTAAACCTTGATTTCACTCTAGTTGTTGTTTTTTAACTACTGTCCGATTTTGTTATCACTGCCGTCTGATAATATATTATTGGACTGCTAATTATTATTATCGGACGGCTACAGGTAAATTTTTAGACTGCAAGAACAAAGGCATGACGTCACAGCAATGTTTTAATTATTTATATCAACACTCGGATGCTCACAGGTATAATGTCATCTATGTAAACACCCAATTAGCACCTCCATGCCAGCCCCAGGCGTTCACGATTATCCAGGTAAGTCCAAGCTGCATTAATTTTACGCTTGATTGGCGTGTACACACGCGCAATCAAAACTTCGAGAGATAGAGAGTAAAAAACAATGAAATATGTTTAACGGGACCCAGGTCTTGGTTCGAGATAGAAAACTTCGAGAGATTGGAAGTTCGAGAGATCGGAAGTAAATTTGCTTAGTTATATAGAGGAAAAAAACGGGACCGGAGGTTCACTTCGAGAGATCGGAGTTCGAGCCATCGAGAGTCACCTGTAATGAATAGCAAAGACTATAGCATAAAACATTCATTAACACCCAGGAGTTTGTTATAATGGTGTTCAACTATATTAATTTTCAGTGAGATGAAATTAGCTGTATCCGGTTGCGGTGTTCGTGACGGTTAAAGAGCAAACATTTAAGCGAAAACTTAAAAGCGAAAATGATGTACTGCTATATGATCTACATAACTTTAGGGTTATTTGGCTCTACTGTGTTTCAAGAGACTCTAATGTCAGAATTCTTTGGAGGTAGGTAACAATTTTATTATGAGTGTATTTCTTTTTGAATGATAAGATAAATAGATCATTTAATTTATAAAATAAATATAAAACTATTTATAATTGTATTTTGTCATTTCCTTTGAAACATTTTTATTCTCTTTGAATTCAGATTTTATTATTTCTGGAAATGTTATTTTACACTCGTTTATATTCTCTTAATTAAAAGCTTTAAAGGAAAAATGATAATTACTTTGGTTTAATTTAATATCCTTCATTTCCTTTTCAAGAGATAACTCCATCTAGAAGCAAAATTGTTTTGAATGGAACATTGGAATTAAACTGCACCATAAATGCTGGAATGAATATATCATCATTGTATTGGGAAACACCTGAAGGAAAAGCTCCACGCAAAAATACGTTCATTATAGGCAACAATATACTTCAGTTGAGAAAAAAGGTCACTAACGTATCGGAAGAGGGCACTTACCTTTGTAGAAGTACTAGTGAAAAGCAGATGTCAAGGAGTCCACGCACGAACGTTTTTATAGAATGTAAGTGGTAAATAAATTAAAATATCAACAGAATTGCAAGATAAAAAATATTTTCATTAAACTTAAGTTAGAAGCCTAGAAGAAGGTTACAGTTTGTGGTAATCAATAAAATGCTAATACAACTTATAAAAACCTGCGCATCAAGTTTAATTTGAGTGCACATTATGGGGATTTAGACACACACACATGTATTTTTTTTTCAAAGGCATGTCACTCGAAAGTGTATTGTTGTGAATGAGCTTCTTGTACCTGCATGTTTCTAGTATGATATCTCTGGAGACATTTTAAATTTTTCAAATCCTTACTACACCTTACATACATTCATTTTTCAAGTAAACAGGAAATGACGTAAGTTTTCATATTTAATAAACTAACTACATGTATTGTATAATGAAGGGTCTTTATTTAGTGTAAAACTTCTACACTTGCACCTACGTGTGTCATGGAATGGAAGTTTCAGCATTGTAAATAAATGATATCAACTCAAGTAATTTCCAAAATTATCATTATTGCATGTTTGAAATTTACTACAAATGTTTTGTAAAATCTGCAAAAATTTTTTTTATATCGTTAAGTTAAACGAGAATAAATGAGGAAAGAAACACGCATTTATTTTTTTTTTTCAATATAGATGAAGCTATACGTAACGTATCTAACTTTACGTGCATGCTAATTAAAGACAAAGACGAACTGCAGTGCAGGTGGAAATTAGGGACATATAATCATGAAGAATATTTGAGTATCATGGCTTCTGTGTAAGTTTCTCAGTCATATCAATCATTCTTTTCAAAGAACGTATATCCAGTATATGTTTACAAATGTTGTTTTGCATAATAGGTACATTTCTATAAAAAGTAAAAATCTTAAGAATCTTAAAATAATTTTTACTAATGGAGCTTGAAATTAATTTATTTTTAAGAAAAGTATCAATCTCCGTTCTCTTTTTCAACTTCTCCTTTACAGTACTTCAGATTTAATAAAGGTGTTTAAATTTCACAGGTCGTTCGATTACGGTGGCCATTTCCTAGACTGTCCTGAAAAATCTCCACAAGAGAGCTGCACTTGGAGTCAGAATGACGGAGACATATATGCCAGTACAATATATATCAACTTGACAATCACTAACACGGAATTCAAGTTCACAAAGTCATTTTTCTTTCACTTCAGGAATAAAAAAATACGTAAGTATATGAGACGAACAGCCTTACTGTACACATTTGCTTAAAAACGAATGGCAATTGCTCTCATTAGTACTAGATTAAGCTCAGGATAATTGTATACTTGTTGAATTTTCACTTATTACAAAATTTGACTTTTGGTTTAGCGCAAGGAGAATAATCGTAGATATTGCAAGATACATATGAAGAAAAAACTTTTTTTAAAAAAATCTTTAAGGATTTCCATTGTAGAGTTCAAACTTGTTTTATATTCATTTGTCTCAGGAACAAACAGAATCAAGTCGTTAAAACCCTTTTAGAAAGACAAAATTGAATTTAGTATAAACATAATTATATAATTTTACTTTCTTAAGTGCAACTTAGGCCACCAACAGACATTACCTCTAGAGTAACATCTTCCTGCACCTGTGTCAATCTTTCCTGGAGCAGCGGAGAAAGATTCATAGTTACTACAACAAAGATTTTTCTCAACTCTAAGTGGGATGCCATTCCAAGGGCAAGTTTACTTTTTATTTGTCAATATACAAAATAAAGATCGTACTATTTGTAATTAGAGATATACTACCTAATTCAATATCTATACAATCTATATAATGTTTATTTTGTGGAGGACTCAGGGTTCAAATTACATTTTATCAGACATAACTACATAAGGATCAGATGAAAAATGTTTCATAATAACCAGGACTATTTAGGAAATATCAATAGGAGGACATTAAATCTGCGCTGGAAAAAAAAAATTGTATCTGCTTATGTCTCATTAATTTCCCATCCTAAAAACATCTAAATATGTATACAGTGGACCTTCAGATATCCGGACGCTTCAGTTTCCGGACGATTTTTCATGGGAACGGAATTTTTTAACGTTATTTTGTCCCGTTTATCCGGAAATCCGCGTTCCGTATCCGGACGGTCTTTTATTACCACAAATGAATTTTTACATTTTATTTTGGTTCATATATCCGGACGGTATTTTTTAATTTGATCTGTCAACTCTGCTAAAATTTCTTGATCAGAGTATTACACTGGCCCGGTTGTTTGTTTTAAAAGATCTCCTGCGACCTGTTATCAATGACTTGCGGCGAGGTTTATTATAGGTCGATAGGTATGCACGAGACTCTCGCTTCTTTAACATGTAATTGATACGTATTAATTAAGTACAATAATTTTATAAGTCTATAATTTTTCGTAGTCGGCAAATATATTTCTTTTACTGTTAGAATACCGGTTTTATATATTGCTTCTTATAGACATTACATGGGATTTTTTTTATGCACAGTATTTTGTGCGCAGAACGGATTATGTGATTTATTGACATTTATAAAATCACTTTCATTACTACACAATCATTAATTAATACGATCTTGCTTGGGATGATTATGATTAGCATACGTATACATGTGCAGTTAATTTCACATTTAATGATATTGCATTGATGGTCATTCATATTAAATAAGACTCTACCGACAGCTTTTTCTCTACCAGCTCTACAGACACTTGGCTAGTTGATTCATGAGACACTGGGAAGTAGAAATAATTAATGTTTTCACATAAACAACATTTCATCTAATGATAATGTACTTTTTTATTTAATTTAAAGAAGTACTGAGTACTAATGTATATTAAAGTATTAATTTAAACAATAAAACAAATGTACCATTGCCAATGCTATGAGACACAATACAACTAAAATCAAGGCAATTCAGGTATCCGGACGCTTCACATTTCCGGACAAATTGAGTAGGAACCAAAGCGTCCGGATAAATGAGGCTCCACTGTATATCAGGCATAAGAAAAGAAGAATTTTGTATTTTTAAAAAAATGTTCTTTGTAGTACTGGTTTGCTTTCTTTTTTGCATGAATTACAGTCTTACTGCAATAAGGCATGTTGTGTTTAACTGGTTTTAAGAAAACCTTTTTTAAATGAGCATCCATCTCGCTAGAAAGCCTTTCACATATTTTAATAAGTTGTTTGAGAAAGGTCCGATCTTCCCTTAGTGTCTTTATTTGGGTTTGAATCAGGCGGTTACAGGGCAACATTGATATATAAACTAAATAAAAACCTTTTTGCTGGAAATACTGAACAAGCACACATGGTATTAACATCTTTTAGCATTTCCTGAAGAGTGCAAGAGAAATTATATTATCAAAAGCAACGCATTTTCTACTTTCGCGAGATTGGAAAATTATCCCGATTGAAACTCAGTTTCAAATGTTTGAGCATTTTGAAAAATGAGGACTTAGAAAAAAAAAACCTAACATGCTAACGGCTAAAGACCTCAAGTTGGAATGTTACTCAATTCAACAAACGTTTCATTAAAACCTAATTCACAACAAACTAGTGAAATTAAAGTTGTTATTGGTGGAAGAGGATCAAGTGAAAAATTTAGGGTAATTTATTATTCGTTAATATAAAAACACCAAAATGAAATTGTAAAATTCATCATATTTCTAGTTTGTTGAGTAAACATACATTTATTTCCATATCTTTGTTTGCTCTGTTTTTAAGTAACAATGTATTTATTTTCAAAATTGGTATTTTATTACTTCACAAAAGCATGTTTGTTTGTGTAGTTTTTTTTTTTTTTTTTTTTTAATAATTTTTTTTTTATTTTAGCGTTCACAAGTGTACAAAGCAAACTTGTTATATATAAAAATATATAAACACACACACACACACAGTGCACACACACACCCACACCCTCACACACACACCCTCACACCCTCACACACACACACCCTCCCTCACACACACACACACACCCTCACACACACACATATATATATATATATACAGGCGCGTAGCCAGAATTGAAATGATGTGTACGCAGAGAACGGCAGGGGGTTGGCTGGGGGTCTTGACCGACCCCCCCCCTCCCCCCGTTGTTTAAGGGCTCTGGTCAGGCACGTAATATAGTTTTTGCCAGCCAGGAAAAAAATTACAACTTTAAAAATTTTGACAAGCAAGGTCGAAAAAGGAAGATTGTCAAAATTCGAAGTCCTATTTCTTGTGTGTTTGTTTGGGGGGGGGGGGGGAATCCAACTTTCAAAACCAAATTTCTACAACAAACAGTGGAGGTCCACCCTTTCAATGAACATTTTCAATAGTAAAAGGTTAGGTTTTGGGAATAAGTTGGGGGGAGGCTCCCCTGATACTACGTGCCTGCTGAAGCTCCGGAGTCTTACCAAATATTTCATTCATTTTCTTGAAATATAAAAAATATGCCATTTAGTTTTTGTTTAGGAAATAAAAGACATAGTAATATTTATTGTTTTAACGAAAATTAATATTCCATGGAAACTTATTGCACATATAAATGAGGCTAAAAATTTAACCGATATATCAATTGGTATTATATAATCTTTCTTAACGTTTAAGAACACGTATACAAAATTTTAATTACGAACAAAAAAAAAATATCGTATTGTAAATCAGACTAGCAGATCATAGCATTGAACGATGTGGCTGATATTTAATTTTTCAAAGATCTTTAAAAAAAATATCAATGTATGATAGAACAATGACAAAATAATGATTGATTTATTTGGATTTTGCAGTTATTTTATAAAAGATTTCAAATTTTATCATACAGTCATGATAATATAAAATTTAAATCGACACAGTGTAACACAGCTAGTTTGAAATACGAATACTTGTTGGATGGTATTGAGATTTTTTTCTCCGAATAATTCTCTCTTTTTTTTCTGAGAATGATGTGTACGCACTCGCGTATTTGCGTATAGGCAGCTACGCGCCTGATATATATATATATATATATATATATATATATATATATATATATATATATATATATATATATATATATATATATATATATATATATATATATATATACAGAATGAATTTGTTAATACTTTTGTTCTTCTCACAACAGTACAAAATTTACTTGTAATTGTGAAAGTTAATTTTGAATGAAGAAAAGAAAGAAAGGGGAGGGTCAGCAGTGGTAGAAAGATGCATATATAAATAACAACTAAATATTCCATTACAGTTCATCATAAAAAAAAGTGCATCACACATTTTTTGCCAATGTCTTTCATATTCCATATATCTACAGCTATAAAAATTCTGCCTATGATCCTCTTTATTAGAATATCAATATTTAATTTTGAACACTTTTATATTTACTAGGAAAAACAAACTGTTTTACAATAAGGTTTATCAAGTTTTGTAATTTACATATATTCTTGTTTTTATATTTACCAAAAAGTATAGCTAGTCTGTCAAAACTCCAACGAATATCTAACTTTTCCAAAATCCATTCTTCAATGCTAAACCATAATTCTTTTACTTTGAAACATTCAACAAATAAGTGATCAATTGTTTCTATGTCACTTGAACAAAAAGTACATGCTGGTGAATCAATCAACTTCAATCTAAAAAGATAAAAATTTGTTGGGATAATTCTGTGTAATATTTGAAATTGAAGCCAGTGAAATTTAGATTCCTGAGTAATTTTGAAAGGAAGTTCAAATATTTTATTCCAATCTGCTTCAACAAAGAAAACATTGTTTTCCTTCCATTTTAAAAGAGAACTGATTGGCTTTCTCTTTTTATTGATAAATATGCTTAACATATCTTTACACCCTTTATTGTTTCTGTAGAATATAAAAACAGAATTTGGAATATTTGGTCCAATAATCTTTAATCTTTTAATTTCATCCATTCTTGCATACTTCAATCTTTCTAACATAACTTTCTTAAGACCATTATATTCAACAAAATTTGTTTTCACTTTTGAAATTTCTATGGTATCAAAACTTTAAAAATTGCCATCATGATCAAAAAGGTCATTTAAAAAGACAAAAGACAAAGACAAAGCCTTCATCAAAATAGCATTTCCAGAAAAAAGATTTCCGTTAATCATTATGTGTGGGTTAATCCATATGTATTCTGATAACACCTGTCTGGTTTCTTGGTGTATATTTATAAGTCTTACCCAGGAATTAAGGACCTCTTTCCAAAAATCATTTGTTAATTTCTTTGTTAAATTTAGAATGTAATCTGAGCTCCTTATCCACAGGCTTTCAATGTCTGTTTTTAGTTCAACTAGTTTTTTTAGTAGTATGTACTCAGGATCAGAACATGTAGATTTAAAATAGATACTGAGTATATTTCTTATTTCAAGGGTGGAAATCGTATTTACCTTCATTGAATAATTGATAATAATTGCTGAGGAATTTGGAAAATTTTCACTTAATTGGTAGATGATGGCTTTAAATATGAAATTCTTAATCAGAATATTTTCCTCAACTTTAAATTAACAGTAAATTAAAAAACTTTCTTTTGGTTTTGATTCCATCTATCAAAATGTGATCTTCAACAAATTTTAGCCATGCATTTATATTACATCTAATATCAATTTTACATTAAAATCAAAAAAGTTAATAGTAAAGCCAGCAATTGCTATTAAATTCATATGTTTTTGAATTTTTTGAATGGAATCAATAGCTATTTTTAAATTTCAAATGATACTAGTTAGGACCAATTGCTAGACGACAGCACTGGTAAACGATATAAATGGTACATTTCAAGAAAGTTTATGTATACCCTGCCTTGAAATTTTACAATATTTGTCAAAATACCCATCGATGGTAAAAGTTATTTTTTTTATACTTGTCGTTCGGTCAAAAAGATTTTTTTTGAATAATTTACTTCCATATTGGAATCAATTTTATTTTCAAAATCATTGAGACTGAAAAAAAAAATGTGATATGATTTAAAGTTAAGAAAAGTTTACACAAACACTAACAATGTACCCCTACATAAAAATCGTTTTCTTTTGAAATTACCTATGCTGTCAATGAATAAGATGAATTTAGAAATTTATTTGAAAATTAAGGATTATCTCCCTTATGTATAGCTCTGATCCTTCGACGTATTTGGATCCAGTTTTTGGCACTTTTTCAGCTCTTCAGACTATCTTATATAAATATTTTGGATTTCCGACGTTTTGGCATGAGCATCACTTGTGAAGAGACATAATTTGTCGAAATGCGCATCTGGTGCATCAAAATTGGTACCATATACATGAATACGAAGCGTCATGAAAACCCTTGCTTAAATAGTTTCAATGACAACAAACCATAATTCTGTTTTCTCTCCTTGTGCTGCATGAAATTACATGTATTAAAAAAATTAAAGGAATTAATTAATTCCAAGCTGTAAGTAAAATTAGGTATTAGTTATTGTTTAAACACCTCGATTACATTATTGATAATAATTTGAACTATCTGCAGGTAAATGAGATAGACAGATTCAAAACAGCAATGATTTGTGGCCTTATTCCTGATTCTGTTTATAAGTTAGAGCTACAACAGAAACCGATTGAGGGTTTCCACTATAGTGATTTGACAACGGCTAAATTCAATACTTGTATCAAAGGTAAACCTGCTAAATATTTATGCAAACCAAGTTGTCTAATTGCCTTGTTAGTAAATTATGGGTCAATTGAGGTATTCAATGTGCATTTGGGGGGATATTTTCAGTACAAATTTAACTTAGTTCATGCTTTTATAATGAGTTGATCTAATGATAAGAATAAACAAATTGAACTAAAAAATATTTTGACAGAATCCTTTGAAATAATCATTCATTATTAATTATAATAGTTATTTCCCCTTGAAAGTCTTTGAAATATTAATTGTTCGTAGATTTGCTTAGTAACCTATGTATTTTAAAACACCAATTGATAAAGAATATTTAAATGGATCTATCGATCATTTTTTTAAAAATTCATTATTAATTTTTATGATTATGATTGCTCAAACGCCTCTATGTTAAATTGATTAGGTAATATGTATCTAATTGAGAAAATATCTCTTGTTAGGGCTTTTTAACTTTGATCGATGAATCAGAATATTTACACATTTTTCCTGATTTTACTCGTTGATAAGCTTTTTACGCACCCGGGGCCCGTTTAACTTACGACTAAGACCAAAATTTAATTCTGCTTATTACTTCCTATTTTTCATTGGTTTAATATGGTTTTGATCTTTTTTAAAAAGTATTCAACAAGATATTTTTATGCTAGCAATTTCAAACAGAATCATTTATTTTGCAAAGTTGTACGATCAACTTAATAAGTTTTGGGTGTTAGTCGTAAGTTCCTTTGTAAAGCGGGCCCCAGATACCTCGAAGTTCTGTAATTCCTGATATGATAGAGATAATTTACATTTGTATTACAATAGAGAAACTGATGGACGTTACTTACTGTAGATGACAAAAAAAGTGAATAATGTTTTTTTTTTAAAAATAAATGTTTATAAACAAATTGATATTGCCTTCAGTGTTTAATTTTAATCCATTTTAATCACAGCTCCAACGAATGGACCTAGGCTTTCATCCAGTGGTTATTTGTCTGCAAAGTGTGACAGTGCCTTGAAATGTCGCTCAGTAATGATATATTGGAAGGTATCGTGTTATACTCCATATCTTCCTGCATTGGAATATTATATATGATAGTTTTCAACAAAACAGTGTAGTTTTATAAGAACTGAAGCTTTTATGACCTAAAATTCAGAAGAAAATGTTAAGTCGCTTGGCAAATATCTTTCCAAAGACCATTTACTTTGAAAATTCAAAACCCTCTGCTTAGATTAAGAAAGATTTCAATTAACAATCTCGTTAAATTGTTGATATTTTTAACTTTGTTCAAACATCAAACAGGTAATGAAACATTTTATTTATGATATAAATGCAATAATGAACACTGCCTCCCTCTGCTCTATTTTTATTGAATGAAAAAGAAATTGGTGAGTTAGAGTATCAATACTTATGTCACTTACAGTTTCTAACGGTAATTTTTCATTGACTTGGAGTCATTAAAACTAAAAATATACACAAGGAAATATTTAAAAAAAGCAAATAAAGATCCGAAACAAATAAAACGGTAAGCAATACTTTGTTGTAGAAAATTCCAGAAATGTATCAGAATGGCGCAATACGCAATTATATCGTTAGCTCTGACGGATTGAAGAACCATACCTTTGGAGCGAGAAATCTCTCCGGAAGCGTGCTGGTGCCATGTGAAGGTCGTCACAATCTCAGTGTTACAGGTTGTAACCCTGCTGGTTGTTCCCCGCATTCATCTATCATTGTAAGGGATAATGAGGGTAAGATGATAAGGATGAAACAGCAAGCATCTATAGTACTGATATACAGGACGATCTATTTCGTAGTTATTGAAGTATTTCTACAATAGAAAAAAATATACATAGTTGAAAGTATATATAGAAATTCAGGGTTCTCAACATTTAAAAAATTAATCATCGAGGAAGCTTCGTGAAAACGAAATGTGATCAAAAGCACGAATGCGTGAGAGCTATAGACTATCTAAGCTTCATTAATCAATGATTGATTTCACAAAACTTAACCATTGAAGAAAAATGAAATAGCCCCCCCCCTCCCCCCCCCCCCCAAAAAAAAAAACAACCAAAAAACATAAAATAATGATAAAGCAAAAAGAAAAAGAAAATAAATAAAAATATAAAAAATGATTATATGTCTTACGTTACAAAAGTACTAAATGTATCAAAATTGAACCAAAACTGTAGGGGCATTTTTAATTTAAATAATTTCAAATATGTATTTTTTGTTTTGTTTTATCTTTTGTCAATCTGTTATATTATATAGTGAACATTGGAATTCTCCGAAATTAACTCTCAAGATATTGATCATCAGCTGATTGACTCTCAAGTGTCACGCTTCACGGTGTATTCGCCGATCAACGGCCGTGCTTGTTTAGCACAGTCCGCTTTCTCTCGAGGTGCTTCCCAGTCGTGGTATAAACAACTACTTAGGTCATTAATGATTGTCAATACTGAAATGCTATAAAAATTTAGCTCGTTTAACCATGGCGCACATAAATTTAACCATGACCGGCCGCCATGGTAAACTCCCTTGTGGAGAACCTTGGAAATTTAAACTCAAGTTCCTTTATCTATGATCTCAAAATTTCTTCAATCCTGCTTTTATCGTATTACCTGACTGTCCATTTAAATATATTGCGTTATTTTTCAATTTTTGATAATTTTGACGAAATAATATTCAGAACTAAACCCTCCAGACAAGTTGATAGTGGAGCAAGCTGGTGATGATAAAATGAGTTTGACTTGGTTTGGATCTTCGTTTGCATCTCAGAGTGTTTCAAAAATACATGTTATTTGGTGCAAAGGGGAGGCTGCTGTTCAAAAATGCCGGGTAGGAATATAAAAATATCAATCTGACAGTACATGTACATTAATTATTTATTATTTTACATTAATGATTATTTATTTGATGTCCATATCTTTTAAAGAGTCTTCTGAAGAGTTAATAGAAAGTATTTCTTCCTACACAAAAATATTATCTTTAGCATACGTACACATTTTATATTAAGTATTAACATTTCAAATTCGTTCGATTTCATTGTAATTTTCAGGGTGAAATAAATGTACTACCAAAAGACACCAGCCTTACCGGAAATCACGTGCTGGTTTCCAAAAGAGACATAAATGATTCGTTTGATGAAATCATTTTTGGTGTTGCCCTGTTGAATGGAGAAAATTTAAGTAGTGGTATTCGATGGCAGGAAACATGCAGATACACTAAAGACGCGGGTAAAACAACTACATGTATCTTAGAAAGTATTTAAATATATTGCGTTTGTTTCAATATTTGCTCCATATCAATTTATACAATTGTACTTTTCTCTTTTAAAGTTACATAATGAGTGAAAATCACGCGTTTCTTTTAAGAAAGTTGTATCACAAAACAAAAGATTTATGTGAAATATGAATATAGCGAAGCTTTGACAACTCAACTGCACTGTAAAGCAAGAAAAAAGCTGCAAAATGTAAGTGCCGGAAAAACAAATGTTGTATCTATGGCTTTGTTTTTATCGTCAATGTCCACAATGTCAAAGTCACGGTTCCTTTATTTTTAACGAGAAACTTGTAAACAACATTAAATTGGAGCAAGCAGAAGTGAGAAATAAGTTCTGATCATCTTCTTTGAAGATTGTATAAAAATTCTCGGTCATCCGACATTTATATCTATGGAATTGAAACCATGGTAAATTCTTCAACTTTCAGCGCATGCGTACAATAAAGATGAAGAAGTGAAGCAGTATTTTTGTTGGATTATACAAAGATTTTTTTTACTTTTATTTTTCTCCATTAAACTAGATTTTTTAGGTTCTGAAACCTGTAATTTGCTGAAAACCTAATACTTTCAAGAACCGAGCAAAAAAATTGCATGTGTCGTGCATAAATTCTACTTTTGTCGATTTTCGCGTTTTTCCGTCACGGTGTCACTTTAACTACGTATTTCATGAAGAAATCGCAAACATGAAACCTTAATTATCATAACTTGGTTTGCGCTAAATTCTAAGTTTCTGATCTTGTCTAAATTTGAAAATCTCATCTATTTTTTATGGAATATATTTTATGAAATTTCCTGGAACAAACCAATAACCATAAAGAAAAATAAAATATCAGGCATTTTGCACTTGCATATTTGGAAGCAGAAATCAATTGCATATTTATCCTTTTAATTTCATTACAGAGATGCCGAAGCCATCAGATATTAGACTACTTCCGCTTCCTCCAGATGACAGTCTTGCTGTGTCATGGTCTCGTATCAAATGCGATAGGACAAGCGCAAAAAATGCTTACGTTAATTCATACAGAATACAGTATTGTCGGTTGAACAACCATGATAATTGTAAAGGTGAAAAAAATATTGTAAATTCAAGGTGTAAAAGCTGGACTGCTGTTTTAATAAGATTGAACTTTTTTTTATGCAGTATAAATTTTTACGAACAAATGATCAATCAATCAATTTTTGAACAAATGTAAAATTCAAAACCTTCCAATTCTTTTTCAGGGAACAAAGGTGAGGTCAGTCTATCTGCCGACGGTATGTCACAGTATACAATCCAAGGTCTTGAGGCTGAAAAGAAATACGGCATATGGGTTGCTGCAGTATCTTTAAGGAAGGATATTTCATATAGTGATATGATTATTGGAATTCCAAAGAATAATGGCAAGAAATATCTTTTGAATTTATAGAACTTTATACACAGACCTTTGTTTTGTTTGTTTTGAATATATTTTGTTGAAACAATCAATAGGATCGGAAAAAAGTTCTGACAACTTACGAGTTCCTCTATTTAAACAGCAAAATATGCCCAAATGAAATTATGTCGATACGGTATTATTCGGGTTACTAAAAATAGTATAATCTTTGAAATACCTTTCAAATGCTATTCATTATCATTTTTACTCCTTTATCAACAAAAGTAGGTAGTTATCATACCAAGCTTTATAATTATGTATTTCGATTTTTTTTTTCAATGAACGGTTGTCAAGGTGACTAGGAATAGAAATTTCTGTAAAAGTATCTCTTTATTAATATTTTGAATATCGATTCAACATATAATTAGCCAACACCAAGATACACAACTCTGTTTCTCGGTTTGTAATATTTTTTGTGAACAAAATAGCCACGACACTTAAAAAAAGATACATTGATTTGTATAATACAATTCTACTCTTCCTAAAGGTTTGGTTTGATATCAATTAGAATTGTTAAAAAAAATATTGAAGTCTACAATTTTTCGCCGCTTTTTCTTGCCCTATTATGAGAACAAACCAGTATATCTATACTGTGTAGTCTGGTTTATATAAAAATCCAGCAAAATATGTTTATTAACTCGAATAAGTTGAGGTATCGATATTAGTGACCGTTTTTTCAAAAGAGTTAACACCGTTCACGGTAGCTCAGTCGGTAGAGCGCTCGCTCCGTGATCGGGAGGTCGTGAGTTCGAATCTCGGCCGCGACAGACCTAAGTCGATAAAAAATAGGTAGTAACTGTTCCTCCGCCATGCGCTCGGCACTTTGGAGTGAAAGTTGCGGGTCTTTCGGATGAGACCTTAAAAACCGAGGCCCCGTGTCACGGCAGGCGTTGGCACGATAAAAATCCCTCACTGCTCAATGGCCCTGAGTGCCGAGTAAAGGTCAAAATTTGAAGCCCTTCACCGGTATATGGTGACGTCTCTATATGAGTGAAAAATTCTCGAATGGGACGTAAAACAATATACAATCAATCAATCAATCAAAAGAGTTAACAAAACTGAACCACACCATTTACTTGTATTAGTCAGTATGGGAAATTCTTTCAAAATGCTCCTCATCCTGAAGGTTTTGGCTTCATTTCAATCATCATAACTCAAATATGTTTTTGTGGGACAAGGAACAATCATATACATATCAGCGGAGGAGAATAAACTGTAATTCTAAGAAAAACTCAATTTCATCAATTCCTAAAGCAAAAATAGATTCATATTAAACAAAACAAAAACAAAACAAAACACACGCACACACACACACACACCCTCACACACCCTCACACACACACACACACACACACACACAGAAAAAACAAACACAAAAACAAGCGTAGATACAGTTTCTTAAATATCCCCTCCTAAACTTTGTTGCTAATGTTCTCTCTCTCTCTCCTCAATTCTAAGGGATCTTTTTATTGAAATTTATTTTTGGTTTCATCAATTTTATCCTTCAAGAATTCCATTGTTCTTACATTTCCAATACTAGTATATCTTTTAAAAATAAAACAGTTTCAAGGATACGGTATAAATGTTGATTGATTGGTGGTTGTGTCACGTCCCTTGCGAAAATTTTTCACTCATATGAGAAGTCACCAAAGACCGGTGATATTTATGTTCAAAGAAAATTTCGATTTATACTTTCAGATTTGACAGTTCGTGATATTTCTCTTATTGCTGCTGGGAGTTGTTTTCTTTTCATTCTTGCAATATTTGGTCTTGTATGCATTATCAGGTTTGTGAAAAGAAACGTGATTTATTCATCATGAAGCATATAAAATAATTTGTCTAGATATTTGAGAATATTGTAAGTTTCATTTATATTTGATACAGTAAAGTTGAGAAGCTTGAATCTTTTAATGCCACAGTCTTTCTCTTTTCCTTTTATCTTTCAGGCAAGTAATCAGAAAGCTAGGTTTCCAAGAAGAATTTCCTATCCAATCTATTCAAATTGAAGATTGCAAGCAAATTGTAAGTAACTAGAGTGACAATTGACGAGCTCACTTAAAATTTTAGAAGCATAAATTGTTTTTTGTTTGTTTGTATGTTGTTTAACGTCCCTCTCGAGAATTTTTCACTCATATGGAGACGCCACCACCTGCCGGTGGAGAGCTGCAAATTTTGTCCTATACTCGGCACTTACGGCCATTGAGCAGTGAGGGATCTTTTTCGTGCCAGCACCTACTGCGACACGGGACCTCGGTTTATACGGTCTCATCCGAAGGACCGGTCTCCACGTCCCACAGTGGGATTTGAACCCGCGACGTAAGGATCAACTCCTTACGCTGAGACTCTAGAGCAGACGCTCTAACCACTGCGCCACGCGGGCGACCATAAATTGTTAAAATAATGTCAAATAATGAAATATCAATTGCATGTAAAAATTCTGCCTTATCAATCGAAGGTTTGAGGGTGGAAATGTATTCACAGATGATCCTTTGACTACCTATCGCATTTTAATTTCTCAGCATATTTAAAATTAAAAAAAATGTTTTAATATGAATTTTAAAAGCATTGGCCTATTAGAGAGCAATATGTCCCTGAAAAAAAAGTTACATTTCAAAACCATCGTTCATTAGCTATTTTCTATTGTATATATGTGTATAGATGTTTCAAATTTGAATTTTAAAATTAGAATTTATTACTTGCAAATTTACCCTCAAAGATGGCTAAAATGACATTTTCCCCGCTAAGGTACCCATTTTTGCATGATTTTCGAACCTAAAGTCCCTCAAAGCAGACCTATTCCAAAATAGAATTATGAAAGTCTGTGATCTTATGAATAATCTAAATTGGGATTTTTTTAGGGGCACCCCTACCCTGGGTCGAACAAAAAAAGCCGGAAATAAGGAAACTTCTCTTAGAAAACCTAATTCGTATTTAAATAGTCTATAATATAGTTAGACTAGCTCAGAATGTTTGTTTTACAAGCAGGTTTGTTTTTAGAGTCTTGGTGCAAATCCACGTGGCGCTACGCTTTTACAGTTTTAACCCGTCTTTTCCATTACTATTTATATAGGAGTTGTGTGTTTTACTTATAATAATTACCTGTACCGCATAAGTGGATTTTTTTTAGCTATATGCAAATTTAGCAATTTATCAAGAAAAGGTAGATATTTTTAGCGAGAAGTAATTGTAGCGATTTTATAATGTCAAGAAAGATATCTATAACAATTCTTACGGGTTAAATTGTTAGCGATATTAAATTTTACAGATCTCCAAACCCTCGCTAATAATGCAAAAAAATTGAATCCTCGCTAAAAAATTCTGCTAATACGGTATTTATTGAATGTTCATTTTGATATAAAATTAAGGAAGATAAAGAGAAAGCACTCTATGTAACATAAACACAGTCAAGCGAAGCTATACCTCAGTGTAGCATGCTTTCTTCGAGATCAAGAATTATTTACTCTGTGTTGTTAATCAAAACAAATATTCTGGTCTGCAATGAGCTGCAATGAATTCCTCTGTATATACTATTTGATTAATTAAATATCTTAGAATTTCATCATTTAAGAGCCTGTTGAGTCGTAATGTAGTGAATATTTGCATCTGCAACTCTCCTTCACCTTTATTTTGAGAATTACCAGTTAGAGCAATGGAAATGCGTACTAAAGTCATTTGAGGAAGCCTTAAGTAGCATCACCTAAGGAAAAGAAGGGATATTTTTTTTTCGGAATATTGCTGCAATACTTATAATGGAAGATACAAACCCTTGAAAACCTAAATCAATGCAGAATGTTTTGTTAAACATGCAGTTTTTGATTTTTGTTAAGTGGGCTCAAGCTTAACTTCCGGTAATTTTATGAAAATCATTCAACCGTTAAATTATATACCGATTTCGCAAAGTTGAAGATGCCCTTACTTTTTTTAGTACAAAGTTATACCCTATATACAGTGTATATCCCCCTCTAAAAAAAGATGTTGCGTTTCTTTTGCGTTTAAGTATATTTAATACAGTATTTTCAGCTTCTGAAGACAATGGTATAAATTTATATCACAAGTTTCTAAACAGTTGGACTACATATAAGTAACCGCACTCCCATGGATTTCATTTTTATACATGTAATTTGTATACATCAATGAATGAAGATTTATGCGTAAACATGTTGTAAAATACTATTAAGATGAAAATTAAAGTAAAATATCAAAAAATCTTTTAGAAAAGCTCAAAATGTGTCAACAATATAAAGCTGCATATGAAATCTATGAAAAATTTCTACATTTTATGCATAGATTGGCTAAAGGTAAAGTGGTCTAAATATGAGCTGCAAATGACAATATGCATTTAGCCTTGAGTGATTAACCGGAAGGGACTTTTTTGTAAAGACTAAAACTAATCCTGGTTCTACATATTAGAAAAAAGAGAAAAATAAAAACAGTACACTATCCATATATGAACTCGTAAAGGTTTTCTCTGCATGCTAAAAATACTCGAGTATTCTAGCACTATCCCGCTCTTTATATTATAACCCTTTTAATATTTCTACAACCTCATTCTTTTAAAGTTTTCTTTTTTGAAACTATGTTAAACCTTAATTAATTAATGTAGATTAAAATATCTTGATTTTTCCCCCGAAAAATTATGTTTATTTCAGAAGCGAGAAAACAGTCTTTATATTGAGTCGAGTCAAGCAGAGGAACACATCTCCTTTATACAAGCAGAGGTTAGATTTGTTTTGACAACATAATTGTAATAATAATTGAATAATAATTAGTATAAATTACTTGCTAGGTATTATATCTTTTTCGTTATCTTTAATGCAATTATTGTTTACGAAGCGATTTATAATGTTATAGAGATTATAATATTTATGTTTTAAGAAATCCGATCGTGATGTGAAGGACACTCCGTTTTCCAGACTTCTCAGCAGAGATAGCGGGCACAGCAGCATTTCATCAACATCACGTGATTCAAATTCCCCACTTGATTCTTTATTAATGAAAGGTCAAAAATCTCTGTTATGTGGTAATATGAATCAGTTCAATTTTGAAATTATTATCTAAAACATAGGAAAACCATGTATCATTCTGTCTTCAGTAATTCAGAAGTGAAAAGAAAGAATTGCATGTACATGTAGATAGGCTACACTATCAATATTTACTAATCCCAGCTGACAAAGAAGGTAACAAAGTTGATATTTTTTCTAAGGCTCATTATTATTGAACTTAAATTTAATTTTGCGAGTGGTAATCCAATTTACACTCATACTTCTTTTTCTAAAGTGGAAATTCTTCAAAATCTTAAGTCCGTTTAAAATGATTCTAGTATTCCAAACAATCATATTGAATTTGAATTACCAAACCTATAATGGATTCCTTGAGCACATAAATATCCAAACAAAGGCATAGCAAGTGATAGTAAATGTTTTGATAAGCCGTTTTCTTTACACCTCCCGCCGAAATATGGATGAAATATTTCCGACTCGGCGTAAAACAATATCAATCAATCAATCAATCAATCAGTCAATTTTTACTGATTGATTTGACATCCTTGTCACCAAATATTAAGAGCAGTAAAGAATAAACCTAAGGAGTACGTGTACATCAACATATTCAAGAAGCAATAATTACCTGATATGCTAAAAACTCCAAAAGATTTGAAATCACAAAACTTTACCTAAATCTATAGCATCGAAATGTACGATTTTTCAACACTTTATACAACTATTCACCACGATTAAATAAAGACCAAATTTTTTGATATCATACATAACTGCTTTTTCAATAAAAATGGAATTCGACTGTTTGTTTTGTTTGTATGTTTCTTGTTTAGCGTCCCTCTCGAGAATTTTTCACTCATATAGAGACGCCACCACTTGCCGGTGGAGAACTGCAAATTTTGACCTATGCTCGGCACTTAGGGCCATTGAGCAGTGAGGGATCTTTTTCGTGCCAGAATGAAATGTATGGAGATAACGAACAGTATTAAAGCTCAAAAGTCCATCAAACAATACAGATTTTGGAGCAGAGCAAACACGGACCTACTGCGACACGGGACCTCGGTTTATACGGTCTCATCCGAAGGACCGGTCTCCACGTCCCACAGTGGGATTTGAACCCGCGACGTTAGGATTAACTCCTTACTCCGCGACTCTAGAGCAGACACTCTACAACTGCGCCATGCGGGGGACAAATGGAATTCGTAAATTTACAAACAATGTATTTTGTCATTGGTCATCTGGAAAATTATTTTGGTAAAACACTCTGAATCTACACGCGGGGACTTCATGGTTATTAAAAAGCTTTATTGCTTTAATCACGAGATTACATGTAACAGGCCTGTTTTGTAGGACACAGAATAAAAAAAAGAAAACAAACAAAAATAAAAGTCTCTTACTGTGATCGTTAATTAGACATTTAGATATATCGTCGACGTTTTATCAGTTGAAAACATTTCCATGTATTTTCTTTCCAAAGTAGACTCAAAATAAAAGACACCATAGTCTGACACACCTGTTTCAAATATGGATAGACTATAGGAAAATTTCATCTGAACTGTGTGATGAATGTGATAATTTTAACTTTTCTATCTCCAACATCCTTTTTATGTAGCAATATGCCAAGAACATCGCCTGCATATGGAGTATATATCTCCCAGTTAATTCGATAGGCAAGAGTATGTTCTCCATAGGAACCATTTCTAAAACGAGGCGAGCTATTATAAATAAGTTGATGATATAAGGATATTAAAAGTCTTGTTTAACGCATACTTTTTGCAAATTCTATCGTCCATACAATGACCTTGTTAGCAATTTCAATCTATCGTGAAGTCGAATGTTGACTGTCGTTTTTATTAGGCAATTATTTTCACACTGAATTGTCATGGAATTTTTCCGTTTAGCGGATCATAAGAAGGATCACACAGCGAATGTGGTCGGTTGACAGGGAATGCTTACTCCTCCATGGCACCTTATCCCACCTCTGATGTTTTCAGAGATCCGTGTTTACTCTGCATGATCCCGATTTGTATTTTTCAATGG